GATCAGTCCAAGATGCAATATATTGTAACGCATACGGCCGACAGGCACTGTGTAAGAGCCGGCTTACCAGAGCGGTGACGTCGCCGCCCTTCACTGTGATAGCAGGACTACAGCTACTGGGCTGTGGAGAGATCTCTCTTTAGCTCACCGGGCTTGGTCCCTGTTGAGTGACGCGGGAGTCCCGGGTTTAAGCCCCCGACGGTGTGGAGCTGACCTAATGCGGCAAGGGCGCCCGCCTGAACCCCGTTGCGTTACAATATATATAATGTTGAACTCTATGTTCAACCACAATGACCCTGACTGGTGATACATATGTCTAATTTACCAATAATCCCAAACGGAGCTTTTGAAAGTACCACTTTGAGGACGGTAGATATTAATTTAACTATTAAAAAGATGTAGCTACAGTACGTGAACATTTACAGTACAGCCTGCTGCACTTGTGTTATGTGATCACAAACAGAGTAATGTGAATAAGACGCCTTCAAAACTGAAATGCACCAAACAGTTTTTTTCACGGGTCAGTTTTCTAGAAATTGTTTTATTGTTTACACCGCTGTTTTCTTAAAACAAATTGCTGCAATGGCACAGAACAACAGAACTTACCTCCCTGGATGTTAAGAACATGTTACAGTCACACAACCAAGGGGTCCTTTAAAACACTCAAAAACATGATCCGTCCACTCAGCTCAACAGTTTTCCGAGACTGTCAGCAGAATCAAGGCTCGCTCTTGGATTCCAGTTAGAATCACACACTCCTGGAGGTTCCTAGACCATGGTGCAGGTGCAGGTACAGCAAGCTCACAAGCGCAAGAACAGGAACAGAACGTGAACAAACATCAACAAAGACCACCGACACCCAGAGGACTCCAACTACACGGAGACAGCAGCACCAGAAACAGACATCAAGCTCACAGTGCCACGGCAAAACGAAAAAAAAAGAAAAGGCAAAATAAGAATAAGGAGACGCGCACGCGCACACAGACGCAAAAACTACCACGGCGAACCACCAGCACTCGGAGGCTGAAGTCTAAGGCTTCGGTCTACGACCAACACCGACACTGAATGTGTACGCTGTCTCGGCGTGGGCGTCCGCCACCGCCGCGGGCCCCGGCCCACACCCAAAAGACAAACACAGACGGGAACGGGAACCGGCAAAAAGGGAAACTGGCCCCAGCGTCAGCACCCGGCAGGGGACCGGCATCCTGTCTGGGGTGTACCCAGCCTTGTCACCATTGCTTGTTATGATAGGCTCCAGAAGATGAATCGAGGATGCATCACCAAATCACATATTAATTGGTTTATAATATTGGTCAAATAAATGCATAGATTATATCATTTCACCAGCAAATGGAAGAGTAATGCTCCGACTTAACCACAGAAGTTATGTACAGTACTAAATGTTTATATAATACAAAAACATACAGTAAGTGACTGACTAATATTAAGAGAATATATTCACAACATACATTCAGGGGATATACACTAAATCTGTCCATTGTCGGTTGGAACATGGATATTACTAAATAAATAAAATAACAGCTGCATTATTCCTTATTTTATTGTTAACTGAAAGATGTAAATTGAAAATAAAAACCATGTATCACTGGAAATTCCCACACGCGTTGTATACTTCTAAGTCTCGGTTGAGGCGAGTTCATTTCAGTTCTTCAGTAATCAGCTATAGAGTGAACTCTCGAGGTGGATTATCTGAGACCTAAAAATCAGACTCCTTTTGTTTGCTGCCTCTGTGGCACATTCTACGGCTAGATTATGTGAAGCCTGAAATGACCCACTTGAAACTAGGTCAAGAAGTCTTACTAAACTAGACTCTTAACTAAAGAATGGCAATATGAATCTGTGGGAGAGTGAACATGCACTGAGAAGACATACAGGTAGCGGATGGAAAAAAATGGAAACAGTAATGTAGTCACTTAATAAGGAGAATGGGCCACCATGTGCCTGGGTCCAATATAGCCTGTAAGAGCTGTGGCACAGTGTCTACCAGCCCTTGGAATATTGCAGGTGAGAGATGTGGCACCACTCTTTTACGAAGAAGTTAATCAACTCCCGCTTAACTGATGAATATGGAGAACATCGACATCTCAACTGGGTTCAGAATTAGTGGCTGAGAAGGCCGCGACATATAAATGACATCGGTATCATGCTCGTCCAACCACTGGGTGGCCAAGCACACTCTGTGGATGAGGGGAAATGAAAACACTCCTCCCAGCAGGAAGGAAATGTGGGATGAAGATGACCTTGCCTTCAAAGTGAATGAGTGGACCCGATCTGCGCCAGGAAAATACGCCCCATATGATAGAAGCACCAGAACCTTATACTGCTGGAACCAAGAGCTCTGTTGAGTTCTTTAGGCTGGCACCAAATGCACTTGTCTGTTTGTCGAGATCATGATAAAGGACGAGAGCGCATGTGAATAGAAAGTGGATTTCCATGGTGACACCACAGCCATCTTTGCTTGTGAAACATCATCAAGCTCAGTTGGGTCTTGGTCATGGAAGCTCCTGGTTACTGCATTTTTACATTGGTGCATAACTACCTATCAATTCTTATTGAACTGAGGCTGACTGAGGCAATTAATAGGAATAGAGAAACTGGGAAAGCCTGGCGGTTGAGTCAGATTTGCTGGAATCAAAGAACACGATCTGCTTGTTTGGTCGGTTTGGCTTCTTTTGCGATGGTATTTTCGTGGGAGAGAATTAAACGAGCTGATAAGCGTGGATGGAAAAGAGGGTCGCATGAGCAGTTTGAGGCTGTAAATTCTGAGCAAAGCCCAAGATGGCCAATACAAATAGGGCTACAAGGGTTGTACTGCCACAGGCAAGATGAATTCAATGCGCACGCCTCCGCTGAAATGTGCACTATAAAGCCACCTGCCATCTTTTCATACCCAAGAAGGATTTCTAGTCTTCAGGCGTAAGGGGTACCAATCAAGCAGAAGACACCCTGACAGACTCAAACCCATACAGCAGCAGAAGGATCTGGTGTGCTGTGAGCCTACGTATTGCAAAACCCTGTGTCAGCTGGCTAATAATATTGCACCAAGTCTTGACTGTAGGACTAAACTCTGAAAGAGGGCATTTACAGAAAGAACCACTCACCAGTCATGTTCTCTTTTCCATTTCTGTAAGAACAGCACGCGTAACATGTACTTCTTAACATACAGCCCCAATTCATTAACAAAGGGTGTTAGAAGGCCTTACACTATTCTGTGCACAAATCGAGTGTTTCTGAATCTATCAATGGTTCCTGTTTGAAAAAGAGAACACGTGAGGAGCAAACTGATGCCTTTTAGTAAACGTCAGGAATAAGAGAAAAATCTTACAAAGCCTTTTAATTACTTGGGATTAGGAACTTGTGTGTTGTTTCTTGTCCTGAAATACTGATTAGGTTTATGCTTAAAATGTCCACGAAACAGCTCAATCTTGGGTAGATCATTGCAGGTTTACAGAAATCTACTCATTACAAAGTAAAGTCTCAAGGCGTATTATGTGAAATCTAAAATGACCAATGCAAAAAAGTCTCATCTCTGCCACTATGCCAAAATCTATGGGCTAATTTCCCAAGACCTAAAATGACCTACGGCACTGCCTGAATGTCTCTTTCATTAAGAGAGAAATGGTTTCTAAATACCTACGCACTTAAACGATGTATACTTTTGAAGTTCAATGAAATGAAAACCAGTAAGACCTTTGATATTGAGCTATTGTAAATGCTCTGCCGATTTCAAGTGTTAGATCATAGAAGCGGGCACCCATCGCATATTTTGAATTACACGTTAGGTGGGCATGTTCATTTATCAGGCTGAGGACAAAATTCCAGAACATCAGAACTCATCCTCCTTGGGTTCTGTTTCTGGCACCTGCTACGGTTCCTCTCGGCACACAGCAAGCACCACATCCCGGGCAATTCAGGTTGGCAGGTCTTGCATATTATAATAATAATCCTGGAATAATAATAATCACCACAGACAGTCAGGACCTCATTTTTACATCTCATCCGAAGGACGGTGCCTTTTTTACAGTATAGTTTTCCCATCACTAAACTGTGGCATTAGGACCGACACAGACCGCAGGGTGAGCGCCCCCTGCTGGCCCCACTAACACCTCTTCCAGCAGCAACCTTAGTTTTTCCCAGGAGGTCTCCCATCCAGG